AACTTCGAAATGGTCATGGAACATTGTTCCTTCTCCTTTTATTCCATTTTGCCACAAACGATTTGAGGGCCCTGCTTATTCTCGGTGGTTCCAGGTTGACCATCCAGACTGACCTTCGCCGTCATGAGGACGGAAACAAGCGTCATGGTTGTCCCTCTTCAGAGAGCTCCTCTTGTTTTGTGATCGCTGGCTCATTGCCCACTCGCACACGCTCCATGAAGAGATTTAGCGTGCCACACATGATAGCATGTTGAATCAAAATGAAATCCACAGGACACTGCGCCCCTGGCCACACCAGTCGATTTAAAAAAAAAGGTATGAAATGCCCACCTGGTTTTTGTTGTATCGTAATTCCACCCCCTGCAGAAGTTCCTCTGTGACATCTGCTGGGACCTGTCCGAAGGTGGTCTGAAAGCTTCAGGGTTTGTCAGCTCCACAGAGCCACCACCACAGCGCGGCTCAGTCAAGGGACCACAGCAGGAGACCAAACTGCCACCAAGTCCATTCGGACTCCTAGGGAGCCCCTAGAAGTGTCCCACAGGGTTTCCGAGGCTGCTGTTCCTCACAGAAGCACACGTCTCTCCCCCAGAGGAAGATGATGGGCGCATCCCAATGTGAGAGCAGGGTTTCGGACCACTTGATTCCAGCTCAACCTCCTGCTTCGACTTCCCCTTTCCACCCCAAAGATACTGACCGAGAACCTGCATTTCACCAGATCCCTCGTGACTCTGAAAGCTACGGCTAGTTGGGGGGCGGAGGGGGGACTGGAAAGCCTGGCTCCAGGCCCTGTGTCAGGTGAGAAGGGTGGAGGGTTTTGTACAGTGGTTCGAATCCTTAAGGGACACAAGAAGCCTCTAGAGCAGCGGTCACAACCTGTGCGTCGCAACCCCTTTGGGGGACTAACAACCCTTTCGCAGGGGTCACCCGATTCATAACAGTAGCAAAATGACAGTGATGGAGTAGCAACGAAAGTAATTTGATGGTTAGGGTGGGGGGTGGGGGGTCACCACCACATGAGGAACTGTATGAAAGGGTCGCGGCATGAGGAAGGTTGAGAACCACTGGCTTAGAGCTTGCAGTAAAACAGATGGCCAGGCCTCTAGGAGATCTCCCAGGAGCTGAGGAGCCCACATTCGCATCAACCCATGCAGGCAGCCTACACCTTCACCAGAAAGTGCTACACCTTCCCCATTGTGACAGTGTGGCGTCTGGGTTTGGATAGAGGTCAATCCCGCTCACAGAGACTCCATAGGTCAGAGTGGAACTGCCCCGGAGTGTTTCCAAGGCTGCCACAAAGCCGCCGCTGACCTTCCGATTGCCGTGGAGTGCTTTATCCGCTCAGCCCCAGAGCCCTGTCCTTAACACAGAGGACAGGATGCCACAAAGCTGCCGCTGACCTGTGTGCCATGGAGTGCTTTACCCGCTCAGCCCCAGAGCCATGTCATTAACTCAGAGGACACGAATCCTTCGACTGAACGCCAGCAGGGCTTCTTGTGAGATTGTGCCACATCTCACTGGGCCACCCAGATCTATTAAATGGGAATTTGGGGAGACTCAGTCCCAGAGTGTGGGTTTGGAAGGTGCTCCCAGGTGATCCCCTTCCGCCCACTGACTTACAGGTCAAATATACTGAAGGGCTTCCTGTGTGCACTGGATGCCGTCCAGGAAGAAACGCGTGTGCCCTACCACAAATCGTTAGTTCAGTTTTGTTTTCGCTTCTGCTCTGACACCCAATTCATTTGTCAAACAGTTTGCCTGGGTTATAACCATGAGAGAACAGAGCTGCCTGGTTTCACATCTGGAGGCTCATATCCACCATAGTGTGTTCACAGAGAAAACCAATTGTCAGGACCTGTGGTTTTACTTGAGGTTTACAGTTCAAAGCCACCAGCGATTCCACAGGAGAAAGAGGAGGCTTTCTCTACCCGTAAAGATGTGTAGCCTCAGAAGCCCTGTGCGTTGGAATTGACTGGAAGTGGGGTTGAGTTTTATTTCATCTCCACATGCAGACAAAGCGTAGCTCGCAGATTTCATTCTTCCATGCAGTGAGAGTCAAGCCACGCCCCACTTTAATACCACAGTACTGGGAAAGTGCTGTTTTCCCAGGCACAGCTCTGCCGTACATTTACAGTGGCTCCTTAATTTATCATTCATTCCACAGTTTCTTGCACCACCTATTTGACCAAGGATTCTTTCCACGGGGACTATAATTGGGAAGAATCGCACCCGTCAGCGGTATAACGGAGTTCTGATCCCTTCATCCTTCCTCCCACCTCATGGGCTTAGTCTTTGGTTTTAGCCCTTCTGGGAGATGTGTCCTGGTTGCTCATGGTGACTTTAATTTGCATTTCCTTGAGAACTGTTTGTATTGAGCAACTAGTGTTGTTGTTTGGGGATCCTCAATTGTAAACTTGCTTTTCCAATTTCTGTGGTGTGTTCTGTCTCGTTAGGCGCCCGCCCTCGAGTCTGCTCCATTGACCCTGTGTACAGCTGAGCTCGGCACTCCCGGCCCTGCACGGACCTCACAGCTGTTAGGGTGGAGCCCACGGGTGTTCGGTCCACCCCCCAACCCCCCACCCCCAGGGTCTTCCTTCCTCCTCTTCCCTGACCCTCTCCCAAGCATATTGTCCTTCTCCAGGGACTAGTCTCCTGACAACGTGTACAAAATACGTGAGACAAGCTATTAGCATCTTTGCTTCTAGGGAGCACGCGGGCTGTACTTCTTCCACAACAAGTCCGTTTGTGATGCTGCAGTCGGTGGAGCTTTAGTGTCGTCCCCAGCATCCCAGTGCAGACGCACCAGTCCTTTCCCAGTGTGCTCGCTGCGCGTACAGCCTTCGTCTGACCTTGCAGGACAGAGGAGGACAGCCCCGCAGGGTTCCAGGTCTTCCCAGAAGCAGACCGCCACCTCTGTCATTCTTGCAGCAGCCTTGAACTACTAACCTTGTAGTTAGCGGTTGAGTGCTTAACCACTGCACCACCAAGCTTCCTTGGTGAAGGTGTTTGTTGTGCCATCAGGCTAACAAAACAAAGTACAAATTGCCTTCAACGCCAGCTCCCAGTGACTCTAGGACAGAGGGCCACTGCCCCATGTTCCTGAGACTGTGACCCTCCCAGCAGCAGACTGCCAGCCTGCTGTCTGCAGAAGGACAGCTGGGAGTCCGCACCGCCACGGACGGTCTAGTCAGTACCCCCCACAGGGAGTCATGGGGTCTGGGTGGGACTCCACCGTCTCAGGGAGGCTTTGCTTCCTGCTGTGTCTTTGGAGGAATACCTTCATTTTAATGTGACTCGGTTCTTTCCCCTGTGATCGCCAAGAAGGTGCCACCTCTCACATAAAGCTTATCTTTCGCGTTGTAGGCCGGACTCTGTGCCTGGATTTCAAGCTGCCTTCTATTGGCATAGATTTTTAGGTGGGGTTGAGATGGGAGTCAAGCTGTTTGTTTGTTTTGTCTTTTGTAATGTGCCTGCTAGTTTATTTATTTATTAATTTGGGATTTAATGCACAGATCATTTCATATTTCAATCATGTCAAGTAGAATTGTCCAGTTTTTACCACAGTCCATTTCCAACCAGCCTTTTTCTGCATAGACTCCTTGACATCGTCTCCCCTTTGCCTCACCACCTCCACTGCACAGCCTTTTATTTTGGAGTAGTTAACGGGGTTCACTCAGAAGTCCCCTTGCGTAGAGTTCCTATCTGCACTTACTGTTGGCTGTTCACACGGCATGGTGCACTGGGCCCAGCTAAGGGCTCAATCTCGACAGACCATTGGCGCACCACAGCCCACCCTTCTGCGTGCTGGAGAAAGGACCGCACTTCCGAGAACTGCTTGGGCGCCACACACACTGTTCCGTGAGCCCTTAGAACGGCAGTTCTCAACCTGGGGCTCGAACAACCCTTTCACGGGGTCACCTGATTCATCACAGTAACAAAATGACAGTGATGAAGTAGCAACGAAAATAATTTTATGGTTGGGGGGTCACCACCACATGAGGAGCTGTCTGAAAGGGCCGCGGAATTAGGAATGTTGAGAACCACTGCCTTAGAAGCTAAAAGTTGGTCATAATAAGAGTCACCCATCCTTTGTCTCATTCCACGCTGGAGAACCCCGGCAGGGCTCTGGCAGTGAGGATGTAAGTTGTGTGCGAACCTTGGGAAGGAAACACAGAAATCCTACAGTTAAAGGTCCCCCAGGCTTGCAGTGAATGAACGTAAACTCTCAACTCAATTTGAAACTCTATCCTTTTTTACATGTGAACCGTGTAACGGTCGTAGTGATTGTTAAGTGCTATGAATACGTTCCAGCTCACAGCCACCCAATGTACAACAGAATGAAACGCTGTCCGGGTACAATGCTACACCCTCACAGTTGTCGTGTGAGCTCATTGCTGCAGCCCCTGTGACTGTTTGTCTCGTCCAGGGTCCCTATTGCCAGTGTCATTTTCAACACGTATTTAAAAAATAACAAGTGCTTAAAAATACATTGCGATGAACAAGTGTGTAGAGAGCAGATTATTGCCAGACGCCATGGGGCAGGAGATCCCAGTGTGCCCCGTGTGGGGGAGCTGTGGTGCTAATCTACTCTGTCTCTCCACCTTAGCTCAGCCCTGGAGAGGGCTGCCAGGAGTCCCAGATCTGAGTGGCCACTGAGACTGCTGGGCGTAAAGTATTGCCTTTTCTCGCCTCTCGGCTCTTCTAGCTGTGACTCCAGCCCCTTCAGTGGTGCGAACGTGTTACCAAGTGCCTCAGACAAGCTTCCCTCTTTTGGCGTTTTAACCTAACGTCCAGACTCAGCCCCAGGGACCGCAGGACACGTTGACAGCAGGCATTTACGTTACTGTCAGGAAACAAGGCTAGCCCTCCACCTCCACGAACAGTCCATTAAACCGTCTGTTGGCCCTTAGACCCCCATCCTGGCTGACGCTTTACAACCTGCATAACGACCCTGGGATGCACACGGAACCGCTTCATTTGCTCTTTGTCCTGCTTCTTCTCAGTACCATGAGCTCCCGACACTCTGCCAGCCCGGTGGTTTTCAGCAGTGCCAGGAGCTCCCCCAAAGAAGAGCTCCATCCGGCCAGCTCCTCGCAGCTGGCGCCCTCCTTCTCCTCCTCCTCCTCGTCCTCCTCCTCCGGCCTGAGGACGTTCTACCCGCGCCAGGGTGCCACGAGCAAGTACCTGATTGGATGGAAGAAACCCGAGGGGACCATCAACTCCGTGGGATTTATGGACACGAGAAAGTAAGGGCTCCTTTGCAGCTTTCGCCGGGTGGTTTGCTTTGACAAAGTCAAGACAGAGAAGGCCGGTCTCTTTCTGGCAACAGAGAGGCTAGGCTGTGTGATGGGGAGGGAATCGTTTTTTATGGAGGGGTTTTGTTTCTTTTCCTGCCTTTTAAACGGAAACTCAAGTTGCTTCTCCACTTTGTTTCTTAAATAAGATGTATTACAAACCTTCGACTTGAGACTTTTTGATCTCCTAAGGAAAGAGTCCATCCGAAGACCACTCGTTGAGAATAATTGCCCCCCCTGGTGGGACTAAGACCCCACTTACCCTGTGAGACCCCATAATGACATAAACCACAGCCACCCACACAATTCTCCAAACAGGGCTTTTGGTCCCCAGAGCGGACATTAGAGAGTGAGTAGTACCCCTGAATTTGAAGGACTCTTTTCCCCGACAAAGCAGTACGATGATAAAGATAAATGATTTATTCCATGAGTTTGTTTTTTTTGTTTGTTTGTTATTAGTACAAGGCTTTCATTGAGGATTCATAACCTGCAGCCTTTTAAGAAGTTAGTTGCTGATTTGGGCTGACAGCACAAATAGTCTCCTGCGGAAGGGTGATTATTAATTAGGCTCGTCGTTTTGAGTTTTCGCCTTGGTTTTGCGCACCAGCCGTCTGCCCGAGTAGGTGGCGACTCCCTGAACAGGAGGCTGCGTTCCCTCTTTCTCTCCTTTCTCCCTCAGCTCACAGAGCCCCAGGTCGCTGGGCCTTCCAGCGGCCTATTGACTGGGTGTCTGCTCTCCGCCCTTTCTTTCAAGGCGTCATCAGAGCGATGGCAGTGAGATGGCCCACACCCGCCTGCAGGCCTCCACCAGGGACCTGCGGGCATCCCCGCAGCCAACGTCCAAGTCCACTGTCCAGGAGGGCCTCAAGAAACTGATGGACCTGGAAAGCCCAACCCCTGAGTCACAGAAGAATTTTAAGGTACGTCCCGGAGGGCCGGGGTCCCGGGCGCACACGCACGCACGCTCAGAGAAGTCCAGAGTAATGGGGCTGGTCATTGGGATCACCCGTCCCAGGCCCTGTTGGTTCGGGCTCTTTGTCGTCGTCCTGCCCCGTGGCCAGCCACTACCACTGAGTTTCCCAGCCACCGCTGCCTAGAGGGCTGTACAGACTATTCTGTTCCAGCTCTCAGAATTCTGGGCTGCACACACCTTCTCTAAAACCGGGCCTCCCTCCCCACCTCGTCCCAAACACTGCTCACAGGAAGTGCTTGTGTCCCAGGCCTGGCCTTTGGAAAGGTGTGTTCCGTCTCTCCAACGTGGGCGACCCTCGAAGTCACTTTGGGGTGCTGTGCCTCCTGTGTCTTCTCACGTGTGCAGGCGTCATCCGGCAAGGTCACCGGCACACACTCCTGTCACCGGTCTCCTCAGAATGGGAATGGGTGTTTCTGGGGCTGGGCCCAAAAGTGCTTCGTGATGAGGATGAAGACTTCCTGTCCTGAGTGTCCTGGCCGCCCCAGGAGAAGCAAGTCCACCCCCCCAAGGGCCACAGCAGTCGGTGTCTCAAGTGTCCCATTTTGCGGATTCATAGCAAAGTGATTTGCAGTGTCCTGAAGGGAATAGAGGCCTTCATTTCAGGAGAAGTTGGAGGCTCAGTTGGAAGCAGAAACCATCTTTCTTGTCCTCGCATGGTGCCTGGGGGCACCGTGTGGTCGCGGCAGCCCCGAGGTGTTCTCGCATGTTCGTGTGCTCGCTCCCGTGCCGGCGTATGCACGTTCCCTCGGCTCAGATCACCCTCCTGAACGTTAGTATTAGCATGTGTATGAATTGAAATGTGCTCCCAGAACTACTGGGGAGTTCTGCTGAGAAATCATGGATTTATCAACGTCAGACATCATGTTAAAGACATAAACATGCGTGACTTCCGTGACTCTGATTTACAAGCAGTTTTCCCTCCCCTGGCTGGGTTTTGGCTGAGGAAGCAACACAGAACAGACTTGAATTAGTACAATGGGGGTGAGCCAAGATGATAACGGGGTTGAGGCTAACCCCGTTGACTGGTCTAAGCCTTGCAAGAACTGCACTCTCCCTCTTAGAAGCCCCCAGGGTAGAACGCACATGGCATCAACCACATCTCATGGCCAACACAGTCAGAAAGGTGGTGGCTGACCACGCCGCTTTGAACACATGGTGCTCTCCACAGGCCTCCCCCCGACCCAACTCCAGAAAGGCCTCTCAACACCTCTTCGGAGTCTCTCATTACTAGGCTTTGGCTGGTAGTTTTTTCCATTCTAGTTGTTACTCTGCTCCAACCAATTCTTTTGAAATTCTAGCCTGCTCAAATTTTGCTTTGTCGGCCATGCGTGAGTGCAACAGTGTGAACCCTGTTTTAAAAGCCGGCACTTACCATTTCCCACTCATCCCGTAGGGCACAAATGGTTTCCTTAACAACCTCACACAGGTCGTGCTGGAAACTTCTTTCTTGCCTATCAAAAACACCAACTAAGAGTGCTAATTCTTTTAAGTACAGGCAGCCCTCATGAACGAGTTCGGTTCCTGTCTGTCTTTAAGGGGAATCTGTACATTGAGCCGGAGGCTCACACCTAGCCCTACTGAGTCAGGTGATGGTCTCAGACTGTAGTCTGTAATGCACTTCTCCAAGCACAGGCATACGTACATACGACAGGGACACTTCCAGATACGTGTTAACCTAATACGCAGTAATAATAATGTTTTGATGCCCATCACAAAAGAGCGCTCATTTGTCACTACAAATCATAACATGATCCTCACAGTTTTAATGTAGGAGGCTATGTAGGAGGCTTTGGGGGAGGAGGTTGGTTCGAAACACCAGCTATACAGTAGTCGGACACTCGTGATGTGGGGACCAGTCCCATGCCATGTTTAAAATAAAAATGACTTCAGCTTTCTCCTTGGAGGTTAGAGGGAAATAAAACTTGCCCCAGAAGGAGTCTCTCCTCTGGTTCAGCGGTTTCGTGCTTCTGATCGATGCATGCAGTGGGAATAATTGGAGGCAAATGTCTGCACTGCCCTTCTCCCAGGTCTTGTGCGTTTATTTCCGAATAGAACAGCTTCCGTGTGGCTATTTGACCCCGGGCGCCCTTTGCTGTGCGGTGCCTGTCTTCCCGAGAAACGCCCTGCCGGGAAAGGGCATCTGCTGGAAAGATCCGGCGCTGGGCCCCTCCGCTTTCTCCCACTGCCCTCCCACTTGAGTGGTTTGGTTGCAGGAGAATCCCACTGAGTCGCTTTGCATGCCTTCTAACACTCGGTGCCATGCCTTTGAGAAGTCTGCTAGGCCACACTTGGTTTCTGCATCAGGCTGCAGGGTTTTAGGGTGACCAGCTCTGGGCTGTGGTCCCTGGAACCCCCTCACACACCCCCACGCTTGCCCTCTGGTTATCCAGGTCTGCCTATGACAGTCATTACCAGCATATGGCAGGGCCCCTGCCAGGCCCTGGGAGCCCACTCCACTGGCCTGCCGAGAGGGTGTCTGCTGCAGGACGTGGCAGCACACAGCTGGGCAGGCCGTGGCTGGGAGCAGAGTGGCTGCCAGGCTCCACAGGGCTTCTGAGGTGTGACCTCAAGAAGATGGCCAGGCGGTAATGCTCTAAGAGATGTCCCTGGCGGACAGAGCTGTTTCTGGCCACCAGGCTCAGGAGTAGACTCGAGGAAGGGAGTGACTGAGGCCAGGGTGCGTGAGACTGGACACAGGAGGAGAGTGGGAGACTGACCAGGAGCGAGGTGCCACCTCTCCAGGCCTTTGGGAGAAGCCAGCTCTGAAGCCAGACAGACACAGTAGGCCAATGAGTTCTTTCCCGGTGTTTACAAAGGGAGCCTTTCTTGCAAATAAAACCACCCGTGGAAAGGCCCCAGAATGAGAGAGGAGAGTTTCTCCAACCGGGACGGGGCGCAGCATGGACATCTGGGTCCCACCTATCCATCTCGCACAGCGACTGCGCTGTAGGGGCCCTCAGAGCCCCTTGGGACGCAGATGCTGTCAGGAGCCCTTGGGGTGTGCTGGCCCTCATTGTGATTCCAGCACCAGGGCTGACAGCAAAGGCGGGAGCGCTCAAAAGCAAGGTAAGCACGGGCTTCCTCGTGCTTGTTTATTAGCCTGTAGTGCATGCTCGCGCCTGGGCTTCTCGCCCTGTCTTTGACATGGTGGAGAACCGGAGGCTGTTCGCCGCAGACTAATCAGGAAACACAAGTGAGCTGTGTCTTCGTGGCATACTGGCTACCCTGATCCCTGCTGGCCACGCTGGCTGAAGCTAGGGGTTTCATTTGGAGAGTGAGGTGGGGGCTTCCTGGGGACCAGCTCGGCTTGCATCCCCAGTGGATGGCTGTGCTGAGGAGGGACGGCCTGGGGGGGGGGGGTCTCTGGTGTGTTTGGTGGCGTTATTTAACAAGACGGAATACGTCTGCTTGAAATGGACCAAAACCCAACCAAACCCCTGCTGTCGTCCATTCTGACTCATCGCAGCCCCGCAGGACAGGGACGAACCACTCCCGTGGGTTTCCGAGACAGCAACTCGTGACGCGAGTAGAGAGCCTCCTCGTTCTCCCTCGCAGGTCGCGGGTGGTTTCTAACGGCTGGCTTCGGGGCTAGAAGCCCATCACGACGTCCCCTGGTCTCCTCTAAGTAAAAGGACAAGAGGCAGCGAGGAAGGCAGCTCGCTTCCTTCCCCCTCCTCCCTGCCCGCCTTCGCAGTTGCTGGGGTCAGGCTTCCTAAAGCACGTGGCCCCGCCCGCTCCCTGCCTCCACGTAGCTGGGTCCCCCAAGCACTGTGAAAAATAGGGAAAGGAAACCCCTTTGCTCAAACCAAGCCAGAGGTGTTGGGGGAAAGGTTGGCAGCCGTGGTGAACACAGAGGTCTCAGATCTGCCCTTATGTGTCGCGACCCTGCAGGATAGGAGGGGTGATCAATCAGGGCTAGGGTTTGGGGTTTTCTTTGTCTCTTTTGAAGGGGGGAGAACTATTGGGAGACCATCCCAGGCCCCGTCTTGTAAAATGAGAAGTAAAGTGAGATGCCAGGCACTCCTCTGTTCCCAGTTCTCCTGACTGAAAGCCAAGCCAGAGCCCCTTAGCTTGCAGGGCCGTTCCTGTGGGCCATCTACTTCACTCACCATGAGTTTTTAAAGCGGCACAGTTTCTATCCAGTTGACTACACCTGGGCTTCTGTAGACCGCCCTTGATTGATAAGCAGGCCTGGTGGTGCCGTGCTTATGCATCGGGCTGCTAGCTACCGGGTCAGCAATGAGAAACCACCAGCCAGCTTCGAGGGAGAAAAGTTTCTACTCCAGTGAACAGTGACAGTGTCGGAAACCCATGGGGGCACTTCCACCCTGCCTTTTAGGGTCTCTGTGAGTTGGCACCAACTCGACGGCAGTGAGTTTGGGGTCTTCTGGGTTTTGATTAATCATGTTTTTTTAATTTCTGCATTAACCATGCACGTGGCATTGTGGGTAGCTTCCACCTGTTGTAACCCTTGGCTTGTTGCATGGAAGCCTGCTAAGGCCTATAGCAAGTGAATGAATGGGGCCTCTGCACTCCTCCACTTTGGGGTCCGGGCCCAGCCTCCTCACGGAGCCGGTGCTGTGGCATTTTATAGCATTCTGTCTCAGCCCAGCCGGAGTGCCGTGCAAAATGGCTCTGTAGTTTTCTGCCCACCCTGACTCAGACCTCCTGCGCAGGGCCTCCCCTGCCCCTCACAATGTGGAGCAGGTGTCTCGGAGGCCCCAGGAAGCCGTCACTCAGCTGGATGGAGATTTAAATGACATTAACGTGTCTGCTGATTGTCAGGAACGGAGTCACTGAAGCAGACAATTTTCAGAAAAAGATACCTCAAATCAAGTGAAATCTGATTACCAATGCAGAG